GAATTGATGTTAATTCTCTTAGTCTGATTGTAGTGAGTGCTATTGTGGTTATTTACTAGAATGACCTTTTCCTAGGAGATCCATAATGAGATATTTAGGGGTGAGGTGTCATGACAGCTGCATCCTACCTTTAAAAAACTGTGCTGGCCAGGCACGGTGGCTCATGCCTGTCATCTCAGCACTTTGGGAGGCCAAGGCGGGTGGATCACGAGGTCAGGCGTTCGAGACCAGCCTGGCCAACATAGTGAAACCCTGTCAGGTTGCAGTGAGCCAAGATCATGCCACTGCACTCCAGCCCAGGTGACAGAGCGAGACTCCATCTCAAAAAACAAAAAAAGTGTGCTGTGTGTGTGTACATGTGTGTAGCAGAAAATGTGGTGAAATGTTAATGATTGGTAAATATATGTAAAAGGTTTAGGATGTTTATTGAACTATTATTCCAGCTTGTTTGGAAGCGTAAAACTTTCCAAAAAGAGAAACTTCATACTATGCCTTGGAATTTTATTGTAACTGTTATTCTTCTGGGAGATATTAAGACGTACTAGCTAGACATTCTGACACAAGCTCTAAGTGTCACATAAGCATTATTCAGTAAAGATTATTTGAGTGTGGCTTACTACAAGCCACACTCAAATTTTTAGGCAATTAGGATACTTGAATGAACAAAACAGAGATCTCTGGTCCTGTGAGGCCTATATCCTGGTGGGGAGAGACAGACAGATACAATAAACATAATAAGTAAATAAATTGTGGGAAAAAACAGTCGAGTAGGAGTTAGGGGACAATTTGGGAAATACTAAAGTGGAGACTTAGGTAAATAAATGAAAGAAGCTCAGAGATTGATTTGGGGGATATTGAGATAATGTCCAAATTTTCTCTTATTTTAGGATACGCTGGTTTGGTTTCACCTGAAGAGTACTGCACCTTTTAATCACACAAAGCCATTTCAAGTATTCCTAGTTAGTGTTCACAATTGGTGTGCATTTCAGGCACGCCAATTCTGAATCCTCACTAGGAATACACTGGTTCTCTTTTATCTTTTACTGAATCCCAACTAGGGTGACCAGGTCTCCTGGTTTGCCCAGGACTAAGGGGTTTCCCATGATGTGGGACTTTCAGTGTTAAAATTGGGATAGTCCTGGGTGAACTGGGATGGGTTGGTCACCTTAATACTGCCACTTGCCACTTGTGTGACGTTGAGTAAATCATTTAGCTTCCAAGAGTCCTGATTGCCTCATCTATAAAAAGGACATTATACATACACACATATATATATGCTTCAACATGGATGAATCTTGTAAATATTATGCTAAGTGAAAGAAGCTAGACACAAAAGGTCACATATTCTTTTTTTAAAAAAATTATTATTATTTTTTTTGAGACGGAGTCTCACTCTGTCACCCAGGCTGGAATACAATGGCATGATCTCGGCTCACTGCAACCTCTGCCTCCTGGGTTCAAGCGATTCTCCTGCCTCAGCCTCCTGAGTAGCTGGGACTACAGGCACGTGCCACCACACCCTGCTAATTTTTGTATTTTTAGTAAAGATGGGGTTTTGCCATATTGGCCAGGCTGGTCTCAAACTCCTGACCTCAGGTGATCCACTAGCCTTGGCCTCCCAAAGTGCTGGTATTACAGGCGTGAGCCACCACGCCTGGTCAAAAGGTCACATATTTTATGACTCAATTTCTCTGAAATGTCTGGAATAGGCAAATCTGTTGGGAACAAGCCCCCAAAATCTGGCCATAAACTGTCCCCAAAACTGGCCATAAACAAAATCTCTACAGCACTGTGACATGTTCATGATGGCCGTAACGCCCATGCTGGAAGGTCGTGGGTTTACCAGAATGAGGTCAAGGAACACCTGGCCTGCCCAGGGTGGAAAACTGCTTAAAGGCATTCTTAAGCCACAAACAATAGCATGAGCCATCTGTGCCTTAAGGACATGCTCCTGCTGCAGTTAACTAGCCCAACCTATTCCTTTAATTCGGCCCATCCCTTCGTTTCCCATAAGGGATACTTTTAGTTAATCGAATATTTATAGAAGCAATGCTAATGACTGGCTTGCTGTTAATAAATACGTGGGTAAATCTCCGTTTGGGGCTCTCAGCTCTGAAGGCTGTGAGACCCCTGATTTCCCACTTCACACCTCCGTATTTCTGTGTGTGTGTCTTCAATTCCTCTAGCGCCACTGGGTTAGGGTTTCCCCGACTGTGCTGGTCTCGGCGCAAATCCGTAAAGACAGAAAATAGATGAGTGATTGCCAGGTCATGCGGGAAGTGGGGAATGGGAATTGACTGCCTCAGGGGTATGGGGAATTTTTTTTTTTTTTTTTTTTTTGCAGGGGTGGGTGAGGAAAATGATCTAGAATTAGATAATAATGGTTGCACAACTTGGTAAATATATTAAAAACCACTGAATTGTACATTTCAAGAGGGTGTATTTCATGGTAAATGAATTCTATCTCAATGAAGTTCTTATTTAAAAAAATACAATAACATGGAGTGACCACACGGTATGGTTTGGATGTTTTGTCCTCTCTAAATCTCACGTTGAAATGTGACCTCCAATGTTGGGAGGTGATTGGAAGGCCTTCCTTAACTGGAGGTGTTTGGGTCATGGGGTCAGATCCTTCATGAATGGCCTGGTGCTGTTTTCACAGTAATGAGCGAGTTCTCACTCTATGAGTTCACTCAAGATCTGGTTGTTTGGGGGAGCATGGCACTTCTCCAGCCCTTGCTTCTTCTTTTACTGCATGATGTGCCTGCTCCTCCTTCACCCCTGCCATGATCATAAGCTCCCTGAGGCCCTCGCCAGCTTCGGCACCATGCTTCCTGTACAGCATGCAGGACGATGAGCCAAAATAAACCCTTTTTCTTTATAAATTACCCAGCCACAGTTATTTCTTTATAGCAATACAAACGGACTAACATACCATGTAATTAAGCACTTCCACTCCTGGATATATACCTGAAAAAGAAATAAAAACTTGCCCACACAAAAACTTGACGTGGATGTTCATAGCAGCATTATTATTATTATTTATTTGAGACAATGTCTTGCTCTGTTGTCCAGGCCGGAGTGCAGTGGTGCAATTGTGGCTTACTGCAGTCTTGACTGACCTCCTGGGTTCAAACAATCCTCCCACCTCAGCCTCCCAAGTAGCTGAGAATACAGGTCCGCATCATTGAGTCCAACTAATTTTTTTTTTTTGGAGACAGAGTCTCACTCTGTCACCCAGGCTGGAGTGCAGTGGCATGATCTCGGCTCACTGCAACCTCCGCCTCTCAGGTTCGAGCGATTCTCCTGCCTCAGCCTCCCAAGTAGCTGGGACTACAGGTGTGCACCAGCACACCAGGCTCATATTTGTATTTTTAGGAGAGATGGGGTTTCATCATGTTGGTGAGGCTGGTCTCAACCCCCTGACCTCAGGTGATCCACCCGCCTTGGCCTCCCAAAGTGCTGGGATTACAGGTGCCAGTCACTGTGCCCAGCCCCAAGCCTGACTAATTTTTTATTTTTTATAGAGATGGAGTCTCATTATATTGCCTTGGCTGGTCTCAAACTCTTGGACTCAAGCAGTCCTCCTGTTTCAGCCTCCCAAAGTGCTGGGATTACAGGCGTGAGCCATTGTGCCTGGCTGCAGCATTATTTTTAATAGTCAAAAAGTGGAAACGACCCAAATGTTCATCAGCTGGTGAATGGATACATAAAATGCAGTATATCCATGCAGTGGAATATTATTTGGCAACAAAAAGAAATAGAATACTGATGCTACAACATGGATGAACCTTGAAAATATTATGCTAAATGAAAGAAGACAGTCACAAAAGAATATTGTGTCATTCCACTTATATGAAATGTCCAGAACAGGCAAATCCATGGAGACAGAAAGTAGATGAGTGGTTTCCAGGGAGTGGGAGAAATGAAGGAAAATGGGTGTGACTGCTAATGGGTATGGGGTTGCTTTTGGGAGTGATAAAATGCTCTAAAATGTATCGTGGTATTGGTTGCACACACTGCGCCTGGCAATGACGACAGAAACTTTCTAATTCATCCAGGGATAGCCCGGTGTGGTGATGCATGCCTATAGTCCCAGCTACATGGGAGGCTGAGGTGGGAGGATCGCTTGAGCCCAGAAGTTAGAGACTGCAGTGAACTATGATCATGTCACTGCACGCCAGCCTGGGTGACAGACTGAGACCCAGTCCCTAAAAATAATAGTAATAATAGGCCGGGTGCGCCTCTCAGGTTCGAGCGATTCTCCTGCCTCAGCCTCCCAAGTAGCTGGGACTACAGGTGTGCACCAGCTCACCCGGCGGTTTCACCATGTTGGCCAGGCTGGTCTAGAACTCCTGACCTCAGGTGATCCACCCTCCTCGGCCTCCCAAAATGTTGGGATTACAGGCGTGAGCCATCACGCCTGGCCATATATACACACACACACACACACACACACACACACATATTTCACACAGGGCCAACTTTCCGATCATGTAAGCTGTGCAGTCTCACAAGACCCTATGAGCAGAAGAACCCCACACTTGGTTCAATGCCCTGCTGTCACTGTCTTGAAATTTTTAATACTACGGTGTCTGAATAAAATCTAGGTGCCCCTCATTTTCATTCTGCACTGGGCCCTGCAAAAAATGGTGTAGGTGTCCTGAATGCACCTTTGTACCCCCATCACTTAGCATAGTACTCATGCATGGTGGGTGCTCGATAAATATGAATTGCTTTTCCCAGTCCCAGTACCCTGAGAACAGCCCAATGACCTTCCACACAGATTTACCTAGAGCTTCATACCTGCCAGGGACTGTGTTAGCAGCTGGGATATAGGGGGAGCCAAAGCAGGCAGCTGAGACTCTCTTTCCTCATCACTGCAGGGGAAGCATTGAGGAGGACGCTGTTCACGAAGCCAGACATGCCTACCTAACTACTATCTCCAGCAGCAATTACAGCATCTGACTCATTTGTACTTTTAGAGAAAAACGCATCACCTTGGAATCCCGATCTTGTGAGTTCTTCTTTGTTACAGGAAACAGAAGGCTCTGATGAATTAGGATGGGACTTTAGTTCTTTTCCATGGTGTGAATTTTTCAATGTGCTTGTGAACGATCACATTGTCATCTATAATTAAAGAGATCTGTCAGCATCTTTTAATTCAATTTAGTTTCTTTTCTTTTTTTTTTGTTTTTGTTTTTGTTTTTTTGAGACGAAGTCTCGCTCTTGTCCCCCAGGCTGGAGTGCGATGGTGCAATCTCAGTTCACTGCAACCTCTGCCTCCCGGGTTCAAGCGATTCTCCTGCCTCAGCCTCCCGAGTAGCTGGGATTACAGGCATGCGCCACCGTGCCTGGCTAATTTTTGTATTTTTAGTAGAGACGGGGTTTCACCATGTTGGCCAGGCTGGTCTAGAACTCCTGACCTCAGGTGATCCACCCTCCTCGGCCTCCCAAAATGTTGGGATTACAGGCGTGAGCCATCACGCCTGGCCAGTTTCCTTTTTTTCATACTATTTAAGCTACCAAAAAGTTGTTTATTTTTTTGAGACAGGGTCTTGCTCAGTTGCCTAAGCTTCAATTCAGTTTCTATGTAGAAAACACTTTGTTAGGTACTGCTGGTACAAAGACTGTAGCTGGGATTTTCTTTTTCTTTTTTTTTAGACTGGGTCTCGCTCTGTCACCAAGTCTGGAGTGCAGTGACGCAATCGGTGGCTCACTGCAGCCTCAACCTCCTGGGCTTAAGCTATCCTCCCACTTCAGCCTCCATAGTAGCTAGGGCTACAGGCACACACCATCACGCCTAGCTAATGTTTTATTTTTGTAGAGACAGGGTCTTGCTATGTTGCCCAGGTTGGTCTTGAACTTCTGGCCTCAAGTGATCCTCCTGCCTTGGCCTCCCAAAGTGCTGGGATTATAGGTGTGAGCTACTGTGCCCAGCCTGTGCTGGATATTTCTTTTTTTATTCTTTTCTTTTCTTTTCTTTTCTTTTTTTTGAGACAGAGTCTTCCTCTGTTGCCCAGGCTGGACTGCAGTGGCACAATTTTGGCTCACGGCAACCTCTGCCTCTGGGTTCAAACGATTCTCATACCTCAGCCTCCCAAGGAGCTGGGACTACAGACGCACACCACCACACCCGGCTAATTTTTGTATTTTAGTAGAGACGGGGTTTCACCATGTTGGCTAGGTTGGTCTCGAACACCTAACCTCAAGTGATCCACCCAGCTCAGCCTCCCAAAGTGCTGGAATTACAGGTATGAGCCACCACACCCAGCATCAATGGCTGGATATTTCTAAGCTGGATCACATGAGCTGTTTTGACAGAGATTATGGTGAGTTACAACTTCATGAGGAGTTAGCAGAGAGAGCAATAAAATTCCTAATAGACCTGGCTTCGCTTGCTACATTTTTTTTTCTTTTCTTTTCTTTTTATTTTTTGGAGATGGAGTCTTGCTTTATCGCCCAGGCTGGAGTGCAGTGGTGTGATCTCAGCTCACTGCAAACTCCGCCTCCTGGGTTCACGCCATTCTCCTGCCTCAGCCTCCCAAGTAGTTGGGACTACAGGCGCCCACGACCTCACCCGGCTAATTTTTTGGTATTTTTTTAGTAGAGATGGGGTTTCATTGTGTTAACCAGGATGGTCTTGATCTCCTGACCTCGTGATCTGCCCGTCTCGGCCTCCCAAAGTGCTGGGATTACAGGCATGAAGCACCACGCCTGGCCTTTTTTTCTTTTTTTTTTCTTTCTTTTTTTTTAAGAGAGACAGGTTGTCACTATGTTGCCTAAGATGTACTCAAATTCCTGGGTTCAAGAGATCATCCTCCTCAGCCTCCAGAGTAGCTGTGACTACAGGCACGAGCCACCACTCCCTGCTAAATGTGCTTTTCTAGCGGCAAGACCCAGGGGACAATTCCTTAATCTCTCTAAAGTTTAGTTGTTTATCAGTTAACACAACCCTGGTGTCACAAGGGCTATTATAAAGATTACATGAGATAAGGCACGTATCACTCTTAGCACAGCGTCTGGCTCTTAGTGAGAATGTCACAACAGAAACAGAACCTAGACCAGGCATGGTGGCTCACGCCTGTAATCCCACCACTTTGGGAGATCGAGGTGGGCGGATCACCTGAGGTCAGGAGTTCGAGACCAGCCTGGCCAACGTGGTTTAACCCCATCTCTACTAAAAATACAAAAATTAGCTCGGCGTGGTGGCAGTCGCCTGTAATCCCAGCTACTCGGGAGGCTGAGGCAGGAGAATTGCTTGAACTTGGGAGGCGGAGGTTGCACTGAGCCAAGATTGTGCCATTGCACTCCAGCCTAGGTCACAAGAGTGAAACTCCGTCTCAAAAAAAAAAAAAAAAAAAGAAAAGAAACAGAATCTAAAACATTCGGTAAAACTGGGCTGTTTTGCATCATCATGACTCAATAGTACTGTTCCTGGCACACAGCTGCATATCGTAAAATAGCTCTGCCTGCAAATTGCATTTTTCCAGCTAGAGGTGAAGGCAAACAATTCCAGCCAACATCACCTAACACTGTGAACACAGTGAAGTCCCTTTCTTCTCTCTCAGCCTTGGTGGTGACGCCTCTCCCTGCCCCCATTCTCCTAGGCGTGCAGTGAGCTTTGCTCTTTGGGGAGGCTAAGCAGGGGGATTGGGATGCCTGCAGCTGCTGGCAGGAGTGCTAGGGAGAGGGACTTTGACCTGTCCTGGCGTCTTTAGTTTCTGGGAGCCCACTCCTTTCTAACATGGTTTGCCCATTGAGCACTTAAGAACTTGTGTCCTGGAAATAGACAGGACTGGGTTTGAATTCCAGCTGCATGACGTACATTCTGAGTCATCTCTATTTAGTGACCTGTGTAATGAATATTTCCTACCTGTCTTGGTTCAGGCTGCTATGGAAACTACCATAGACTCGGTGGCTTAGAAGCAACAGTGTTATTTCTCACAGTTCTGGAGGCGAGAAGTCTGAGATCAGGGTACCAGCAGGGTCAGGCTCTGGGCAGGGCCCTCTTCTGGGTTGCAGCCTGCTGACCTCTGCTTGTGTCCTCATATGGCAGAAAGAGGGCTGGAGAGATCTCTGGGTCTCTTTGCTAAGGGCACTAATCTCATTCATGATGAGGTAATCTCACTACCCTCATCACCCAATCACCTCCAAAAGGCCCTCCTCCTAATACCATCACATTGGGGGTTTAGAGTTCGACATACGAATTTTGAGGAGACACAAACATTCAGTCTCTTAACACTTGCTGGATTAATGAGATAATGTACCTGTAGTACCCAGCACATACAAATAACTCAATAAATACTTCTTTTCCTCTTCCTCCCCATTATTATTTATTCTGCATATCTCTATCCGAGCAAATACTGGGTTTCTTCTCTTTAACTCCTGTTCCAGTAATCTATATAGACATTCTACTTTCCAGGGTTATTTTGTTTAGTATTTAATGATATTCCCATCCTATATCCATTTTCTTAAGTTCCCACTCTAGTACAAAAATGATGAAGTGAATCTCCTTTGTTAATAAATTTTAATGTCATTAAAAAATATATAGGCCAGTCTTGGTGGTTCATGCCTGTAATCCCAGCACTTTACGAGGCAGAGGCAGGTGAACTGCTTGAGGTCAGGAGTTTGAGACCAGCCTGAGCAACATGGTGAAACCCTGTCTCTACTAAAAATACAAAAATTAGCTGGGCATGGTGGCATGCACCTGTAATCCCAGCTACTCAGGAGGCTGAGATTGGTGGATCCCTCAAGCCCAGGGAGGTCCAGGCTGCAGTAAGCTGTGATCATGCCACTGCACTCCAGCCTGGGCAACAGAGTGAGACCCTGTCTCACACATACACACACATAAAAATAAATTAAAAAACACTTGTTCACCAGCAGATCTTCTCTATAGCTGGCTCCCAATTCTGAAGGGTATCTTTTAACACTAAGTAATGGTGAGGAGATTAAAATCACTTGTCCCACTCACAAGAGAAACTGTTTTCCAAGATCATCCCAGTTTCATTTATCCAGGAAGTGGAAACTGTGTCGGCTGAGAATATCCTAGCACTATTTAGGGGTATCCTTGAGATCTTCTAGATGGTCACGATTAACCCTAAAGGCAGCATCCACTGTTTTCAAGTCACTGTGCCCTATCAAACAAACACGGATCTTAACCTGAAGGAGTTTAAAATGTTACAGGGGAGATAAGATATGTATATAAAGAAACATAATATGGAAAGCAGTGAGTATTATAAGGCACATACAGAAAAAGTACAATTGAAGTTCAAGAAAAGATTGATTTTTGACTTGGAAAGTTGGGAAAGGCCTTGTGGAAAAGGTAGTCCTCATACTTGGGACTGGAGAGACTGGAGGAAAAAATTGGATGTGCAGAAATAAGTGTCAAAGGAAGGAAAAATTACTACTTGTATTAAAAAAAATTGATGGCAACAGTTTTCACATTATGAGGGATGCTACAGAATTCCTCCTGTTGTAGGAGAAATCATGGATGGGTCTTTTGGTTTTGAAATGCAAGCCCTAGGGAAGAGAGGGAAAGTAGAAGTCTAGAGGAAGCTGAATTCCTCTGGAGAAGCCAATAAATCTGTCTTTCTTGAGACAGATGTTGTTGCAATGTAAAATGATATTTATGTCCTTTGGGTGGGCCTCAGAACAGAAGTTCAGGAGGCTTAGAACTGAAAGGAGGAAGGAGGCAATGAAATTCTATGAAAAAAGAGAAGTCAGCAAAGGGCAACCTGTTGTGGGTCAAGAAGAGCGGGCCAGCTACTAAATTCCCCATGGCAGGAGGAGCCAACGACTTCAGCAATGGCGGTACCTGTTAAACACTTCTGTTATCCAAAATAGGCCGGGCACAGTGGCTCACGCCTGTAATCCCAGCACTTTGGGGGGCCGAGGTGGGCGGATCACTTGAGGTCAGGAGTTTGAGACCAGCCTGGCCAACATGGTGAAACCCTGTCTCTACCACAAATACAAAAATTAGCTGGGCATGGTGGCGTGCACCTGTAATCCCAGCTACTTGGGAGGCTGAGGTAGGAGAATCGCTTGAACCCAGGAGACAGAGGTTGCAGTGAGCCGAGATTGTTCCACTGCACTCTAGCCTGGGTGACAGAGCAAGACTCCATCTCAGA